TTTTTTTTTTTTTTTTTTTTCCAAAAGGGAAGCCGCCTCCTCTTTGATTCGACTACTGAGATCAGTGTTTCTCAACCGTGGCAACTTGTAAGGTGTGCAGACTTCAACTCCCAGAATCCCCCAGCCAGCTGCGGTTGTAGGAGTTGAAGTCCGCACACCTTGAAGTTGCCATGGTTGAGAAACACTTCCTCAGCTGTAACAGCCCTTCTGAGAGGGGCTTCTTGTCAAGGGACACCTTGACAAAAACACACCCACGTACACACACACATACACAGGAAGACTAAGAGACACCCTGACAAAAGAAGTTCTACCACCATGCCCGGCCTCTGCCGCGCCAACCCACTCCGATTGATCTTTCTTCAACAAGCTGTTGGAAATTCTCCGCCTCCGTGTTTTCATCCCCAATTAAGTGTCTTAAAGGAAGATCCTTTGCACACAAAGTGGGCTTGTTTATACTTTGGTTTAAATTAACTTTCCCTTGGAGGAACAGTAAATGGAAGGAGGGTTCTATGCCATTTTGCTGTTCTTCGTTTTTTTTTTCCCCTCCCAGATGTAAATCTCCCCCCTATTTCCAGGAGTAGAATTTCAGGGTCCTTTTTACTTTCGGAGAGTTGGCGCAAACGTGCCCTTCCACCCTGTGGCAGGTGGGATGCGAAAGTGGGTCTAGGGGCCATGTACAGCCTCGGACTGATCCCACACCACCCCAGCCTACTTTTGTATCAGATTTTCAAGAGCTGTTTCTGGCTCAAACCCTCTATTTTTGTCCAAAGACGATTGGTGAATTGGAAGAGAGAGGATATTTTGTGGTCCTTCCTGCCAGCCTATAAGCCAATAAAAATAATAAAAGTTGTCTTTTACAAGCTCCTTTTGCTGTATTGTCTGAGTTTTTAGGGTGGAAATCAGCTATCTTGGCTGAAGTTCTGAAGTGCAAGTTGGAGAAAGATAATTTAAATAGAAAAAACACCAGGGAAGTTTCCAGAAAGTTAAAACACTGAAACTGCACCCCAAGTAATGTAGTCCTCGACTTACAACAGTTCATTTAATAACCACTTGCATTTACAACGTATGGCCATTTTTCACTCTTACAACCATTTCAGCATCTCCATGGACACATGATCAAAATTCAAATGCTTAACAACTGACTCATATTTATGACGGTTGCACTGTTCCCGGAATCATATGATCCCCTTTTGTGACATTCTGAGGAGCAAAGTCAATTGGGACGCCAGACTCACTCAACTATGTTACTAACTTAACAGCTGCAGTGATTCACTTAACAACTGTGGCAAGAAAGGTCTTAAAATGGCAAAAATCACTTAACTGTCTTGCTTAGCAACAGAAATTTTGGGCTCAATTGTGTTCATAAATCGAGGACTACCCATAATATGAAAAGACAAGAGAGTGACTTCTTACAACTGCCTAACATTCAACAAGAATTTTGTTCAATGAAATACTGCCACTTTTCCCATTATTTTTAAAATCTTCAATGGGAACATTGCTTTGTCATTAAATTCATTTGTGATGTCAAGGAAAATGGGATATGAATAATTCTAAGAAGTTTTTACCTTCCAAATCTCCAGTTTTTATTTTCTCAACCTCCCAGACTTTTTAAAATCCAGTTATAAGTACGACTAAATCATAACACAAACCAGAAATAAAAGATACCAAATGCAGATTCTAAAAGATAAATACTGTTTTATTGGTGCTTGTTATACTTTTGTTATATACAAGGCAGGCAATTGGAGGGGCTACATAATAAAATATAGAAGTCAAGATGTAAAGAAGAGATTTGCTTAGGAGTTAAACTTATGGACAATAGAAACAGAGATGAAGTTCTTCAGGAGAACTGGTTATTCTGGGAAGAGAAGGCCCCTCTTGCATGCATGGTATGAACCTACCAAGCATCAGAACTGGCTTTCGCCTGAATAAGAGAAACGGAAAAAAAGATGTGGGAAGAGACCAATGCAAAAAAAAACAACCTCCAGAGGAGCAAAAATGCTCTTGATCCACCTGCATCTCATGTCCCCAAAATTGAAAGGACAAAGGAGGGACTTGGATGGAGTCAGTCATAGTATTTCTCTACCCTCCGAACTTGGCAGTACATCAGCATGGAGAACACGATGCCCAAGACCTAAAGGAATAGAGAAAGATTTACTCAGAAAAAGTACAAAGGCACACACACACACACACACTCACATTTTTGGCACCTAACAACAAAAAGGTTAGCCATCACTGATCTAGGGGAAGACTGCAAGCCCATTTTTTCCTTGTTCCTCATTCAACTGAAAATAGTGTACTCAGATTTGCAGATGTAATTTTGAGAAATTCAACGGGGAGAGTGGGGGGGAGCTTCCTAAGCGGTTGGGAGAGATGCTTGCATTCCCTTGTTGTATGTCAGAGGTGAGGAACGATGGCCTCTTTTATGACTTGTGGACCAACTCCCAGAATTCCTAAGTCAGCCATCCCCCCCCCCCCACTCAATTTATATGGTTAGAATAGAGATCTTCCAAGGAAATCTTGCTAGATATTTAGTACAGTGTTTCTTAAGCATGGTGATTTTAAGATGTTTGGACTCCCAACTCCCAGATTTCCCCAGCCAACATGCTGGCTGAGAAATTCTGGGAGTTGAAGTCCACATATATGAAATTTACCAAAGCACTGGTCTAGGGTACGCCATCAGCCATTGCTGCTTTGACCATCTCACCTGGACAACAATGATACAGGCAGAAAAAATGCCCATTGCAAAGATGTTCTCTGCTAGCCAACGTTTCACCTTCTCGTAGCAAGGCTGCAAGAAAAAGGACAAAATAAACAGAAGCACGTGATATAGTGGTTAGGAAACCTTGGGAGGTATGTCCCATGCAGTTAATTCTCGATTTACAGTCATTCATTTAGTCCCTGTCCAAATTAAAGAGCCACCGTGGTGCAGTGGTAAGAATGCAATACTGCAGGCTACTTCTGCTGACTGCCAGTTGCTTGCAATTTGGCAGTTCGAATCTCACCAGGCTCANACCTGTAAATTTTTGGTTTCAGCTTCATCCATTAAGTCCTCTTTTGTTGTAACGATCTTAAGCCCAGGGAGGTTCAATTACAGGTAGTCCTCGACTTACAATCACAATTGCGCCCAAAATGTATATTACTAAATGAGACAGTTGCTAAGTGAATTTTGACCCATTTTATGACCTTTCTTGCCACCATTGTTAAGTGAATCACTGCAGTTGTTAAGGTAGTGTGACATGGTTGTTAAGTGAAACTGGCTCACCCATTGAGTTTGCGTGTCAGAAGGTCGCAAAAGGGGATCCCATGACCCCGGGATACTGCAAGCGGCATAAGTATGAGTCAGTTGCCAAGGGCCTGAATTTTGATCACATGACCATGGGGATGCTGCAATGGTCGTAAGTGTGAAAAACAGTCGTAAATCATTTTTTCCGTGCTGTTGTAAGTTTGAACAATCACTAAATGAATTGTAAATCGAGAACTACCTGTACTCACGAAGGAAGGCAAATATATGATAAAATAGAAGACAGAACCTTTGATCCTGGTGACCGACCCAGATTGGATCCTGTAACTACCTGTAATGTAACCAACATAGTTTTAGTGGCTGAGAGAATAAAAAGGAAATTTGCTCAGCCGTTCTTCGGCTAGTCTAGCATACTTTGCAAATTTATTGAGAGAAGAGAAAGAAAGGGGGGGGGGGACTCCTTTGTCTGTTCCTTGGAGAAAAGATACAAATGTGAGGGATAATTAAAAAGAGATCCACCTAATACGTGTGGCTTTGTCTCTTCCACCCAGTAGGCTCCCTTAATTGCTTGGTCTAATTAGTCTTTAATGAGAGTGCTAGGCATGGTTAAGTGGATCCAATTTTCTTTGTTGGAAAAGCTTGTTCTCAATTTTTTTTTCCTTCTGTTTAATGTCATTCACTACAGTTTGTATATTACACATTATAACTCCTCGCTATTTATACTTTTGACACTTTTGTAAATAATCTGTATATTATCACTTGAGTTTTTATCTTGAGTTTTCAAAAACTAGAAACTTTACGACAGCCATCTCCCAACTTAACAATATTCAATCCAGCAACCAGGATTTCCTATCTTTGGCCATGCAAGCTGGGAATTCTGGGAACTGTAGTTGCAATATGATTGAAAGATGCCAGATTAAGGGAGGTTGCTATAAATGGAAACTTTATTCATTGACTATAGTGGTATTTGAAACCCCAAGGAGTTGCTTCCTTTCATTTGTCTTTTCTAGCTCTTCCATATTTTCTTTGGAATTGACACTGTTACAGGGTGAGAGGAAGTTTTAAATTATAGATTAAAGGTTACTTTATTGATGAATCAATCTCCGGCTTTCTGGGATTTTCAGGAAACGGAATATGGAGAAGTGCTGAATGGGAGTAGCCTCGGCCAGGTCTCAAAATGAGCATTTCGGGTATTACTTGATAAAAAATATCCTCAAGAACATATAATCTATGCCAAAGATTCTTGTATACACTTGGAATTTTTTCTGAATAAAGTTTAGAGAGAGATGGAGGATCTGAGGTAGCTTGTAGTCATGGGTGTGTTGCTAGACCCCTCCGTTGTTAGACCCCTCCTTTGCTACCCACTTTTTGAAAGAGGCTTGTCCTAAGAAAAAAGGAAGGCAACATGCTGCACAACGACGCACTTGCCTTCTGCTTTGTATCTATTTGCAGGAATCCCCTTGAGCTTATCAAGCCGTGATAGAGAACATCCTAGTAAATGAGTGTTTTGTGACGGGCCATGAAAGTAAATCTACCACATTCTGCC